GGTATAATAAGGAGAGATGGGAAGCTGAGTATTTGCTCTGTAAGATGGAGATTTGATTCATAGCAATTTACTTATTTAGAATGAAGTTCCATTCTGACAGAATTGTTCATTCCTATGGTTTTCCTTTTAACAAAACTTTGCTTGCACCTTAATTGTGTAGGTTTCTTAATTTTCATAAAAGAGGACACATTTTGTTCAGTTTTTTAAGTGTATTTGGGTGGGCTTTTAACAGAAATATAAGAATATAGAACATTATCAAAAGCAGTTATAACTGATTCTTACCTTGTTTGTATAGAAAAATGGGGCAGGTGAGAAGCTAAATGACGGTGATTACACTATCTGCATTATTTACAGCCTTTTTTTTAAAAAAAAAAAAATGGAATGCCCTTATGTCTTTTTGCCCTTAGGTCTTCAAGAGTGCAATTTGACGTGGAAAATTTCCCCCTATTTAACCTCAGGTATTGTTTTCTTCCATAGAATGGTTCTTGCTACTGGAAAATCCATTTACTGGCTGGCTACGTTCTCCCAAAATAGGTTCTTTACTGTACTTCATATGGATTAAGTCACCACGTTAGTCATAGTCAAATGCAGGAATTGGAATAAGAGCACTGAGGATCATGAACTGAAATACTTTCATTTATTTACCGAGTCAGCAACTTATAAAATATAAGGAAAGGGCCTGTAGCAGGTGCCTCAATTGGTTAAAGCATCATCCTAATATGCCAAAGTTGTGGGTTCAATCCCCAGTGGTCAGGGCACATACAAGAACCAACTAGTGAATGCATAAATAAGTAGAATGACAGACAAATCATGTTTTCTCTCTCTTCCTCTGTCTTTCTAAAATCAGGAAATAAATTTAAAAATTAAAAAAAAAACATATAAGGAAAGTAAATCTTCACATTTTCTTTAAAAAAAGTCCAATTATAAAGAAAATAGGATAACTAAGTTTTAATGGTTTTAAAAGAAATCTTTGTTAGAGGTTAGGGAACTAAATAAGTGTAATTAGAAAGATGAAATAAATAGATTTGGAACATTCAGCATGGCACAGTGAGCCAAGATTCTAGAGTCATGGCTCTGGTACCAACCCTGCTATGGAACAGCTGTGACACCTCAGTCAAATGATTTTATTTTTGTGATTCACTTAACAACTCTCAGACGAGGCTGTGTTAGAAGAACTCTAAAACAAACTACATCTCTGAAATGTTTTCCTCTATTTTTGGATGGAGAAGCAATAAAATGGGTTGGATTACCTGCAGTCTCAGCTGGTAGGTGATGGTAAATCACAGGCAGCATAAGCAGATTGTTGACTGGTCAAAATATGGCAGAGGCATGTTGCATCTGGAAATGACAAAGATCACAATTAGGTAAAAAATAACAACAATTTTATGGCAATGATTTACTATTAAATCTCACTCCTTTTTCAGAAGAAGGAGTTTGGTTCATTGCAACTTGGTTCTTACAGATATTAGCTTAAGACACAACAAATGTTATTAAGAGCAACAAAAATATATGTATTATTCATAAATCAAACCAAGATTTAGCACACCTAGAAATATTTCTCTTAGTTTATTGTGGATATAAACATTAAAATGCAGGTGTAGTGTTTCTAGAAAAAGTTAAGCAACATTTTAGAGATTCTCTGTGAATATCTGTGAATGAAAAGATTAATAATAATTATTCATTGTCAAAACATAGAAGCTGAGAATTTCTATACTTGAAATTTAAAACTAATTATAAATAAGATGAGCAAGAGAAAATTTGTTCACTAAATCCATGGATTCTAGAACAAAATTTTGATTTTAGGACAAACAAAAATAAGCCTTTTTTCTACTGTAGGTTACAATGTATGAGGTTCATTGTCACTGTATGTGGTATAGAGTAGATGGATCATATTAAATTTGATCAAGTTGATTCTGAAAAAAGGGATACTTGAGCCATAGTTCCATATTGAATGAATATAAAGACTACTCAGCAAACATTTTCTTTTTGTTACAGTCAATATTAGACAATAGCTTGGATTTTCCTCAGAAACATTGATGGCGTCAGTGAGGAGAGTCCTTAGGGCTACTCTCAGGCACAGAATGATTTGTGTAACCTTTGACATGGTACCAACTCCCTAAGGCTCAATATTTTTCACATGTAAACTGAAAATATTAATCTGTATAACTAAAATTTTGAGGAATAATTTCAGTAACATTTTGCCAAATATAATATGTTACTTATTCTAATTGTCACCTTGATACTTTGTATCACTGAGGAAACAAAACTGTAATACTTTTATACTGAGAATTTTTTATCTTATGCATAATATATTTTTAAAATGTATTTAAATGTTAAAATTAAAGTATAAGAAAAAATTCATTGGTTTAGATATTTCCAACACTTACTGTTTTTAAAACCTGACTATTTTGTCACTTTGAAATGCAAAAAGGTCAATTTTTATTTTTGTTGCTGAGAGGATTGCCGATGTCCTCCATTTCCTCCCTTCGCTCCAACTCCACTGGGCTCCTGCCACACCGCAGGCCTGCACAGCACTGTTGCCTGTGCCCATGGGCTGTGCATATATGTGTACAGATTCTTTGGTTAATCTCTCTTTGTGTGTGTTTTTGTTGTTGTTGTTTTTAAATAATAATATCATTGTGCATCAAACGCGTTGATGCTGAAGCATTTCTTAAAAGAATGATTTACAGCCAAAGCCGGTTTGGCTCAGTGGATAGAGCGTTGGCCTGCGGACTGAAAGGTCCCAGGTTCGATTCCGGTCAAGGGCATGTACCTGGGTTGGTCAAGGGCATGTACCTGGGTTGCAGGCACTTCCCCAGTGGGGGATGCGCAGGAGGCAGCTGATCGATGTTTCTCTCTCATCGATGTTTCTAACTCTCTATCTCTCTCCCTTCCTCTCTGTAAAAAATCAATAAAATATATAAAAAATTTTAAAAAAAGAATGATTTACAATTATCTCTGGTGTTTTCTCCCACATTAGCACTCATCTGGAACTGTTGGATGCTGGCAATTTATTATTTATCAAAACATAAAATTTTATTTTTTTCTTATCATTTCAATCACAGATCAAAGTCAATAGAAAGCTTTTGACAAATTGGTGTTCATGTCTTTTTTTTTAATTCTCACCCAAGGACATTTTTCCATTGATTTTTATTTATTTATTTATTTATTTATTTATTTATTTAAAATATATTTTATTGATTTTTCACAGAGAGGAAAGGAGAGGGATAGAGAATTAGAAACATCGATGAGAGAGAAACATCGATCAGCTGCCTCCTGCACACCTCCTACTGGGGATGTGCCCGCAACCAAGGTACATGCCCTTGGCTGGAATTGAACCTGGGACCTTTCAGTCCGCGGTGCGACGCTCTATCCACTGAGCCAAACCGGCTAGGGCTCCATTGATGTTTAGAGAAAGTGGAGGGAGGGAGGCGGGTGAGAGAGAGAGAGAAAGAAAGGGAGAGAGTAACATCTTCGTGAAAGAGACACATCAATTGGTTGCATCCCACACTCACAACTGAGGTATATGCCCTTGGCCAGGAATTGAACCCAAGACCCTTTGGTCCATAGGCCAACACTCTAACCACTAAGAAAACTGTCAGTGTGTTCAATATCTTAATGATGGCCTTGCTCCATGGGAAAGCCAATTAGATCTGGTTTTGGTTTCTTTGAAGTCTCCCTAACCTGTTTTAAGAGATTCCATCAATATGAATGCAGCCAATGCTGCATTGTAGTTGTAGGCCTTCATTTACAATAAGCAATGCTTTCTTACACAGCTCACACATAATATATAATGGGGATTATTACAGTTATGGGTACCTTCTTTATTAGAAAGAATTTGGTTGTGGCCTTTCAAGAAAATGTGAAATTGTGTTCATGTTTCTGATGAATGTTTTAGCCACAAATATTAGATTTAGAGTTTATTTCTATGTGCATCTGTATGTACTATTTTATATTTCTGCCCTTTTGCATACATAATAATTCTTCTCAATACCTTGACCCAATGTAATATTTTTTTAACTCATTAAAAATAGCAATTAAGTTTAACATGGGTGGTGGTATCAAGTAGGTTGAAATGAATACAATTTGAATAGCAATAACCAAGGTTATACATTTGTGGGCAATGTGAAGTAGATAATTATTGTCTTGCACATGAAGACTGTAAGAGATCATTTATTTTAAGAAGAACCTCTTTCAATAGTTATTAAAATATGAAAAATATTTATCACAAAATTAATGAAATATGGTATAGTAAACATTTAACAATATCTGGCTAATCAAAGTTCAATGCATGGTAGCCATTGCTATTACTATTTTATTGTTATAACATTAATATGAGTGACAGTGAGACAGCTTATACCGAGGACAGTGACATTACATACTGAATGGACATGGCTTCCATGGGAAGTTTAGATACCCTGTCTGTCCCTGTCTTGATAAATCATATTTTGATTATTCTCTGAATTGAACTTTTGCCATAGCTCTTATTATACAAAACAATAATTCACTGTTCCCTCAGGATAGTTATAGAATCCAGAGTTTATATTATCTGGTCACAGAATCATTTATGAACACATTTTAAAAATGAAGAATATATTCATTTTAACATGGTGATTAAAGAATTTTTTATCCATGTGTGCGTTTTGAAATATTAATAAGGGCAAGCTACTTATTGCTTAATCAATTTTAGATCCAATGACTTTAATAGTGTTGCATGTTTTCAAATACTTGTACAGTCAAGCACAGTTTTAACACCCATTTCAGATGTAGTTACTTAACATGAAGCCATTCCCCCTTCATATTTCTTCTCTGCTAATTTTTATTTATTTTAACAGTCAAAATATAATATGAATTGCTATATATTAGGTGGGTAAAGCATGTGAACAATTGTGAAATAGTTATTTATATTACTGTCTATGTAGGTCCAGAGGGAATAAATTATTATCAAAATCATAGGCATCAAAACTCTTTAAGAATAAACTCACAAGGGGCGGCCGACAACTCCTCATGGCGGCGGCTGCTGTTGGGCTGCAGTGGGGCGGTGACTGAACTGGTGCCTGGCGGGCGTGCGCCGAGCCCGGCCTGGCCTCCGCGTGCCCTCCAGGCTCTGCACCCCTGATGCTGCTCGGGTGCTGACCCCGCCCGGCCGGGACAATGGTGAAGTATTTCCTGGGCCACAGCGTGCTCCGGAGTTCCAGGGACCAAGTATTCGCTGCCTTCTGGCAGCGGTACCCGAATCCCTACAGCAAACATGTCTTGACGGAAGACACAGTGCACCGGGAGGTGACCCCTGACCAGAAGCTCCTGTCCCGGAGACTCCTGACCAAGACCAACAGGATGCCCCGCTGGGCCGAGCGACTGTTTCCTGCCAATGTCGCTCACTCAGTGTACATCCTGGAGGCTTCTATTGTGGACCCCCAGAACCAGACCATGAACACCTTCACCTGGAACATCAACCACGCCCGGCTGATGGTGGTGGAGGAACGATGTGTTTGCTCTGTGAACTCTGATAACAGCGGCTGGACCGAAATCCACGGGGAAGCTTGGGTCTCCTCTAGCTTATTTGGCGATTCCAGAGCTGTCCAGGAATTTGGTCTCGCCCGGTTCAAAAGCAATGTGACCAAGTCAATGAAGGGTTTTGAGTACATCTTGGCCAAGCTGCAAGGTGAGGCCCCTTCCAAAACCCTTGTTGAGACAGCCAAGGAGGCCAAGGAGAAGGCAAAGGAGACGGCACTGGCAGCTACAGAGAAGGCCAAGGACCTTGCCAGCAAGGCAGCCACCCAGAAGCAGCAGCAGCAGCAGCAGCAGTTCGTGTAGCCAGCGCAGACCCTGTGTGGCAGCACACCACACCACCTGCTGCACTCCCTCTGCCCTCCCCTCTGTATTTTATTATTAAAAGTCAACTTCCAGCCTGATCTACCCTCTGGGTAGTGGGTTGGAAGTGGTATCTGTTTGGCAACTACAGTGCATCAGACCTGTTATCCGTATCTGAACCAGGCCTGCTTCTTCCTGCATTGGATAGCTGAGGAGAGATTTGCCCAGGGTCATGGACAGCATTCAGGCAAAGTGGTCATAAACACTAGACTGTAAGCTCCATGAGGGCAGGGACCTTCGTTTTGTTCTCTGCTGCATCCCAAGTATCTGGAAAAATATCTAGCTCATAATAGACACTCAATAAATATTTATTGAATTCAAAAAATAAAAATAAAAAAAAACAAATAAACTCACAAAACAATAGAGCTCTATAAAATCTCAAGGAAGAGCCTACATATTTTGGAAATAGTGGTCACATAGGTAGCATATACTTAGTGAATCTGGGACTTTATCAGGTAGTTAGATTCCCCAATACTAATCTCTTTATTTTGTCTAAAATGAAAGGATCTCTGCTTACATAAGGGTGATATACACTAGGCATACTGACGGTGACTTCAACTGAATCCTCAAAGAGAGGAGAATCTTTGTGACACACTGGGCTGCAAAGACAGAGGAATTTATAATGCACAGAAACTCACATACATGGAGAAGAGACATTTGGGCCAAACATAGCTAATATTTGTAACAATTAATATTTTTCCAATGCCTGATATGGGGAAGGCTCATCACATCTATTATCTTTAAACTGTACAATAACCCTACATTGTATGTGACAGTGTTTTCAATGGATAAATGTGGAAAATGAGCTTCAAAGATGACTATGCACAGGAACTCACAACTGCAGGGGTGGTTTTAAATTTCTTTATGGGAAATTATTAAAAGTGTCAAGATAGTTGGAAGGCTGGGCTTGAAACTGCATTTGATATAATTCTATAGATAATATTAAGGATTGAGGGAAGGGCAAATGCAATTATCTGCGGGGTCAAGTTAAAGCCAACCTGTGCCCTCTTGAAGCTGCTGTCATAGCTCGTGGGAGCAGTGCTGGGAATCAATCACATGCACTCTGTCTGAATCACACCCACTGGCATTTTTGTACACTGTATCTCTGCCTCCTATATTGTCAGATTCCATGCTACATTAAAGTTGAACTTTGAGTGGTTTCTAAAGAGTAAAACTTAGTTATAAAAGCCTCTCTCCTAAAAAAGGAAGATGAATATCAAATTGTTTCATTAGTCTGAAAACTCTCTATTGCTCTCCCCCAATCTGAAGATTATCGTCATTCCTCTACCTCCCACAGTCTCCTAAACATGCCACATGGCTCTGAGCTGATGGTTAGACTGAGCCCATTGCACCACAAGAAGCATACACTCAATGCAGCAGCACTATGGTCTGCTGGGAATAAAACCCCACACTTCCCATTGGCCTCATCTGGTGCCATCTGCACAGCTGTATGTTCAAAATCTCTTTCATTAGCAAGAGTTACAACAATGCTGTGATTGGCCCCATGATCTTCTTCAGCAGACCTGGGATGAGCAGCCTGAGTAAACCACGTGAAAGAAAGAAATGAAATATTTTTATTTACTACCATGGTACTTTTTAGGTCAATCTATATTTGGGCGCTAAACAAAAACACAGAGTACCCAGTTAAGTTTGAATTTCAGATAAGCATTGAGTAATTTTTAAATATGTGTATGAACATATAAGTATTAATATAAATATTAGTATAACTATATAAGTATGTGTGCAATATTAGGTATATACTTATGTTAAAAATTAGTATTTGTCTGAAATTCAAATTGCACCAGCCAGTATGTAATTTTCTAAATTTGGCAACCCTATCTATGTGACCTAGTGACTGGCTTTAAGAAATTCAGTCTGGGGGAGTCAGATATACAGATCTCAATTTATAAAAAGGTTATTATTAAAGGTATTACAGGTGGGATGTCAGATAAAGATATGCCTAATTGAGAATGGAAGGGATGAAGACACCAGCTTTATACCAATGTCCTTCTATTTTACAAATGAAATCATTTCAGTAGATAAATAGTTGTGTGCAGAGCATAAAGAGCTTACTATACAATTGGGGAAATAGGCATAAATATAGACAAAAGTAGCAAACCATCTATACTAATAAGAGGGTAATATGCTAATTAGACCAGACATCCTTCTGGACGTCCTTCCGGACAAAGCCACAGTGGCGTGGGCTGTGGCAGAGGCGGTTAGAGGTGATCAGGCCGGCAGGGGAGAGAAATTAGGGGCTATCAGGCTGGCAGGGGAGAGCAGTTAGGGTTGATCAGGCAGGCAGGCAGGTGAGCGATTAGGAGCCAGCAGTCCCAGATTGTGAGAGGGATATCCCTGGGATTGGGCCAAAACCAGCAGCCAGACATCCCCTGAGGGGTCCTGGATTGAAGATGGTGCAGGCTGGGCTGAGGAACCGCCCCCGCTCCGTGCATGAATTTTATGTGCTGGGCCTCTAGTCCTATATAATAAAAGGGTAATATGTAAATCGACCAAATGGCGGAACGACCAGTCGCTATGACATGCACTGACCACCAGGGGGAAGACGCTCAATGCAGGAGCTGCCCCCTGGGGTCAGTGCACTCCCACAGTGGGAGCACTGCTCAGCCAGAAGCCGGGCTCATGGCTGGTGAGTGCAGCGGCAGTGGCAGGAGCTTCTCCCGCCTCTGAGGCAGTGCTAAAGATGTCCGACTGTGGGGAGCGGGCCTAAGCCATCAGTAGAAAATCCCCCGAGGGCTCCTAGACTGCTAAAGGATTCAGGCAAGGCTGAGGGGAACCCCCTGCCCCCCCCCCCGGAGTGCATGAATGTCGTGCACTGGACCTCTAGTACAAAAATAACAATACAGGAAATACCATAAGGAAATCTGTGATTAGTTCCTAAATAAGTAGTTTGTACACCATATTATCAAAGAGGGAATTCATTTCTTGCTCTTACACGGCTCACCGAGGATAGGTTTGATTTATATAAGCAGAGGACAGTCACTCCAAACGCTGGGTAAAAACAAGTGTTCATTGGGTCTCCCAAGGCTCTTTATACATACTCTTATTACTGAACTCCTCAAATCTCTCATTAATATTTCTGTCCTCTTTTAGTCTATCAATTCCAAGCAGGCAGTCTTTCTGTGTGTTTTTATTTTAATATTCTTTTTATACAAAATCCCTAATTTTCACATGGTACAGTGTAGGTGCTCAGCAAATATTGAACTGACTTTGTTGTAATTAATGTGGATGGAAAAGTCCCTTCAGGGGAAATAAACTTAAAGTGCTGAAAATTGAAGCAATAATTGTGCATGTGCCCCAGGTGTGTGTGTGTGTGTGGGGGGGGGTGGTTCTATTAACATGCATACTTTTTTACTTTTTTGTGACCAACAACATGCCACATAGTCCTGCAGGTATAGCCATTAGTTGGTTATAGCAATTGTGATGATAGCAAGAAACAAAAATAACTTAAAAATTTAAAAATATATTGAGGTGACATATGTGATCTGAACTTCTAATTAAGTTCTATTATCAGTGTCCTTAAATATTTAAAAATAAATTATTTGACTATAATAATACTATGCATATTAAAATCATAAACACAGTTATTTCTTTTTTTCTCCAAAATATATACATTCATCCCCTACTAAATGAGTTATAGGATTAGGCTTTGGTAATATAAACACAAATTAAACATAAATAAGATATGGTCATGATACTCTTTTCTAAATTTTCTATGACAGAATATATACAATTTAGAGGACTCTATTTTTAAAAAATCAGAATCCAACAAGACATGCCAGAATAAACATCTTGCAGCATGAAATTAGTAAAGATTGAAAACATATAAAATTTTGGTAATGGGAGCTGAAAACTGGCTTATTTCCAGTTTTATTAGGAATCTGATTTTAGCTTATGTTCACTTAGAAGTTCATTACCTTCCCAGACAAATCTAATCTACATATTTAGGTCATTCTCCACCCTTTCCATTCATTCTCACTAAGATCTAATAGAATATCAGCTCAGGAAAATGCCATTTTCCTGTTCTCATGCAATTAGCATCCTGGATTGAGCACACCGATTTTGGGCTTAAAGGCTTTAAAAAAGATAGAAGATATTGGGTAGGCACTTCCACTTTCCATTGATGGGAGTGTAGGAGGTTTAAAGTTTGGGGAAATATGGGTCTGTCATATTCAGAACTTTGTAGAGAAACAAACAGAAAAGAAGACAAAAACTGAGGACACAAATATATATATATATAACTCATCAACACAGCATATAACTTAGTGCCTGACACAAAGGTGGCATTTAAAAGGAAAGCAGTATTGAAACTATTTCAAAAGATATTTAATTTAAACAAATCAGGCTCCCTTTATAACATATGTGCCACTAAATGAACTAAAAACTGGGGCAATGAATGTCAGCCTTCAAAAAGAAAAGGGCGTCTATTTTACAAAATTTGACCTTGACATGTTTTTCTAAATCAAGAGAGCGCTGGAACAATATTAGATTAAAAACGAAACCTATAATCCAGTTTCAAATGGCATCTGCAGGGTTTTCAGTTTTGGAAAGTAGATCTTTACCTTCCAGTAACTATATATCATCTTACTGCTCAGTGATAGTAAAGACTCTGATTAAAGATGATACAACGTTTGACCTGTCAAATTAGGAAAGATTCACAGGGGTAGTCCACAGTCCTGGCAAGGGCACTCTTTATGATTGGCGTTTACGTGCTTTCTAGTAGCTGTGTAAATTTTCACAGAGTGGGTGGGAAGCAATTTGGCAGTATATGCTAACTTTTAAAATCTTCCTCTATTTTGACTCACAAATTTCAATTTGAGGAAAACATACTAAATTAGTGTTTATGATATAGTACAAACTGGCTACACATTTGTATTACTTCTATAATTGCAAAACTTGACTTTATGTCCAAATACAGGAGAATATGTAAACACATTTAGTAAATACATTTGAGCATTGTACAGATATTAAAAATGTATTTTCAGAGAATGTTTAATATGTAAAATTTTCACTGCATAATGTT